TGAGAAATGACAGATGCTCTCAGTTTAAGATTAGCAGATGTTTTAATCAGCGGTGCTGCTGGCGGAAAGCTCGTATACCGCATACCTCTGGATTCCACTAGTAACATCACAATTCTCCAGGTTTGAAAAAAGGATGTTGTTCTCTGCAGCTTTTAAATTTCCAAATTTAACACACACTTCATTGTTCTGTTTGGGGATTTTGTACAAAAAAAAAAAGTATTCACTTTTCACTCCCGTTAAACAAACAGAGATCGATGTTTTTCACTGAGTCTGCAGTTTATTTTATCTTTGCAAAGAGAAAACAGTTCATCTTATTGCACGGTAATCAGCCCTGTTCTGATCTGGGCAGCGTTCGTTCCTCCTTACTTACAACAATGGAAAACAGTCAGAGTCAAAACTAATTACAGACACTTTGGTTAATCCGTAAAAGCCGAATCTGTGAATTTATTTCCAACTTAACTGCAGTCTCACATGCCGTCTGCGTGTCTGCAGCGGAGGAGAGAGAAGGGGAGGAGAGATTGCTTGAGTTATATTTCCCCCCAAATAAATAACGGTCATTATTGTATAAATATTGTTGCTTTCTGCAGCGTTCCACCTCATGCAGCTATTTTCATTGTACAGATCAGTTATCATCTGATCGCTGCGCTGTTGGCGACACTGATGACGTAGATTTAGTTATATTTAATTACAAATATGATACAATATGATATGATACAATATATACAAATATTTTCCAGAACGTCTGTCGTAAAGACGGAGACGTAAAATAAATGTGATCGACCACACGAATGCATGAAAACGCTGCAAAATGTATGCCAGGCGTGTAAGTCGCGCTGTGGTGCCAAAGCAAAAATAGGCAACGAAATGTTGGGCATGTGCACTAATATTTATACATGGTTGCCCTGCGGGTCCATTTTCGTGGTTCAGTCAAATTCAGGTGCTGAACTATGTGGTCGATATTGCTCTGTTCCTCCTGGAGATATTCCAGAAGAAGAAGAAGATTCTGTTGTAAGCCCGACAGCAGGATGAGTAGCATGAGCAGCAACCATTCAACACAGTACGGCGCCATTGTTGTTGTGATACTGTGTCACGCATGCGTGTTTAGAGGCGACGCTATGACGCATGCGTGTAAGAAAAAAAATGCGGTTAGAGCTTAAAGATGGAAACGCGAAAACGGCGTTTCAAAATCTTCCCACTCTGAAGGCTGAATAAAAAAAAGAACGTTTACAGACCCCCGAAACGCCGGCTTCGTATGGATGAGAGGCTGGTTTGGTGAAAAATTTGTGCGTTTAAGCCAGGGTTTGACTTCGTGTGGACGGGGCCTCAAAGAGAGAGACTTCAGCTAAAACCGAAACTGAAGGGGGGTGGATTTGTTCTCCAGCCACAGCGCTAACAGGGCATTTATATCTGAAAAGGGATTGATGAGTTGATAAATACTGCAGGGGGACTGCAGGCTGACGAAAATTCTCGTATCTGTGGGATTTCTATAGCCTGGGTGCCATTCCGAACTTAGTCCCGCCCACAAGGTTTGAGGTCGGGAAGTTCGGTCTGGCTCTGCTCCATAGTAGCGCGAGTATTATCGCCCACTGTCAGGCGATCCAATCAAATTGTCAGGGCGGGCTTTATACGATGATGGATAGATGATCAACAGTAACGTAATCAACCACGTCACCAAAGCGCGCTTGAGTGACAACAACAATGGCTGCCGCTGGAGAGTTGAGGTGTGTAGATTCTGCGATTAGGTCTGTTCTAGAAGATATCGACAGCTAATTAATTTTAAAAGAGGAACTGAGAAACGCGATCAAGGCTCATCTTCTTATTCTAGGCGTGAAACTGCACGCTTTGATTTTTGTTGACAACAACTATGCATCGCTTAACATACGTCACGCACTCCGTTGCTCTTATTGGTTGTAGGTCTATCCAATTGAGTGCAGAGGCATTTTTTTTCCTGGTTCATTCGAAACACGCCCCATAATCACAGCTCTATGGAGCAGCATCAGACTCATTCTGATTAGAATTGAGTAGGATTACGTCAGGCTAGGATTTCTAGTGTTAAACAGTAAAAGGTTCTGAATAAACCTTGAGAAAGAATCTGGTTTGTTATGGGAAGAAGTATGTCTGGTCTACAAACACCCCTCAGTCAGGCATTGTGTGGCCTTGCAGGTGAAACAGACTGAGTGAAAAACTTTTATAATGATTAAAAAGCATAAATGAATATATAAAATGAGAGAAAGCAACATTTTTCCCAAAGGCAACTTTTAGCCTTTAGGACAATTTGCAAACGTATTTATTCAGCCACTGATTGCTTAAGATCCTACAAACATTAGATGTTGGTAATTTTCATAATTGATGCACTTTAACTATGAGAGACACATAAAGGAAAAATATAAATATAATGAAAACAGAACAACACATGTATTTATAAATTGTGGTGAAAATAAGTGTTTGGGGTTCATGTCACAGAAAGGACCATGGATACAAGAAAACTCCTTCAGGATAACAGAATTACTTTAAGTACTTTTTATTTTATTTTAACTATTTTCCGATCTATCTAATTCAAAGGGAGAAGGATTGTTTCCAGATGGAGCAGATTAACTGATCTTAGCCTGGACAATGCTCTTTTTTACCTTCCCGATAAGCTAGCCAGCAGTCCGTAGTGAATGCACACATTTCCTCTGAGGACGATAAGAGACTTCCCAGGTCTCATGTAAGCGTGCCTTTCATAGCTGGAGTAGAGTTTGGAAACCAAAGGTTTGCTTTAACTATTTCTAAAAGCGTCCTTTCTTCACCCCCCCAACCTTTATCAAAGACCCAGAGGTTTATCATTGCTGGAAATGAGAACAGGAAGCAGATGTTGTTCCGATTACGCACACAAACATGTCTTTGCCAAGCAGCAAATGGCCGTAACTAGCTGAGGCCTTCAGGCCTGAAAGGAGCCGAGGGGCCAAGTCTCTGAGACGTCCAAAGTTCTGTTATCTGCTGAACATGTGCAGAGGCTCAAACCGCAGACCGAGGGGCCCTTTTAATCCTCCTCAGTCTGTGTTCTTTATCAAGTCATTCAGGTTTCTGTGTGAAAAAGCAGAGAAAATACTAAATGTAATATATTTTCCCTGCAACAAGGGAACCGTAACCGCTAAAGGAAAAGTCAGGTCAGCAAGGAATAATCAATGGATCATTATTAATACTTAAAACTAATACGTTTGCTGTGATTTCAATAATTTAGTGGTAATCAGTAAAACAAATAATTTTTGTCGCAATCACTGAGTCTGGGAGCGGCCATTTTTGCCCAAATCTAGTAACCCCTCCCTCCTGCCATCTTCCAGCAGTGACGTCACGGTGCGGTAAGCCTAGCGCCATTCTCCCCGCTTTCCAAGCTAAATCAATGGGAACTACTAGACACATCTGCAATCAACAACAATTATTGAAGATTTCCAGAGGACTTCACCATTGAAATTCACCAGAGCTATAGTGAAACTGACAATGCCCACGTGCATGGCAGCTGGATGCTGGAATACATCGGGGAAAAGTGAAAAAAAAAGAGTTATTCCACCTTTCTGATTCCTGATCCTCCACGGACGGGTTGGTCGTTGGATCGCCAACTTGAAGAGGGAGGATTTGCCATCGAACTTCTGGCCAGAGAAAAAACCCGTAATATGTAGCCAACATTTGGAAGAAGAATGTTTTCAAGAGGACTTGGATAATAGCGCGTTGTGACAAACACCAGATACAGCACTGGGACTTGATCAACAGCCGATACCGCACCGTGACGTCACTAACCAGTAGGTGGCAGTAGTGTTCTTTGACAAACATGGATGCCTCCAGTAAAGCACATTCACATGAAAATTACTTTTAACTTAATTTGAATGAAATTAAGAGTGAACACTGCAGCAGTCAGAACTAACGCTAGCCCGTCTGGAGCGGCCAGGGCTAACGTTAGCCTGTCTGCAGCGGCCAGGGCTAACGTTAGCACATCTGCAGCGGCCAGGGCTAACGTTAGCCCGTCTGCAGCGGCCAGGGCTAACGTTAGCACATCTGCAGCGGCCAGGGCTAACGTTAGCCCGTCTGCAGCGGCCAGGGCTAACGTTAGCCCCTCTTCAGCAGCCAGGGCTAACGTTAGGCCGTCTGCAGCGGCCAGGGCTAACGTTAGCACATCTGCAGCGGCCAGGGCTAACGTTAGCCCGTCTGCAGCGGCCAGGGCTAACGTCAGCCTGTCTGCTGCAGCCAGGGCTAACGTTAGCACGTCTGCAGCGGCCAGGGCTAACGTTACCACATCTGCAGCGGCCAGGGCTAACGTCAGCCTGTCTGCAGCAGCCAGGGCTAACATTAGCACGTCTGCAGCGGCCAGGGCTAACGTTAGCACGTCTGCAGCGGCCAGGGCTAACATTAGCCCGTCTGCAGCGGCCAGGGCTAACGTTAGCACATCTGCAGCGGCCAGGGTGCAGCGGCCTGGCTGCTGCAGACAGGCTGACGTTAGCCCTGGCCGCTGCAGATGTGCTAACGTTAGCCCTTGCCGCTGCAGACGGGCTAACGTTAGCCCTGGCTGCTGCAGACAGGCTGACGTTAGCCCTGGCTGCTGCAGCCAGGGCTAACGTTAGCACGTCTGCAGCGGCTAGTTTTTATGTTTTATTTGGCAAAATAATTTGATTTGTGTTTATCTGACTGTGTTCATCATTATTCCCCGCCTAAATGAAAAGAAGTCAGAATTTATTATTATCTAGAGACTATTAATAACAGGAGGTTAAATGCAGCTCCAGACTAGCGGTGATATGGCGATGTCATCAGTACGCTTCTTTTCCAGTTGATCCAGATTTATTCTTTGTGGTCTCGTTCTCCCAGAGGTCAGACTTTCTTGTGTTCTTCTCAAGAACGTTCTTGTAAATTGAGAAACGGCCAGTGAGTTTTTACATCATATTTAGGCTGACATGTGAAACTACTTATAGATTCCTATAAGATGATGAAGGAATATCAGAGAAAAGCCACAGAGACGCTCACATAGTTTCTACTTTAATAAGAATGCACCTTTGCACCCTTTTTTATTTACTTCACTTTAGGCTATTATTTTACAAACTAGATATAAAAGGACATAAATAAATGACATAAGTTACATGTACCTATAACTCCTTGACCAAAACAAAATCAAAGAAAACAAATAATTTCTGAAGAAAAGGGAAAAAAAAAAATACAAAAAGGATCAAGAGGATGTTAGATCTACATGACTAGATCATTATGGCATCGGAAGGCATACAACGACAAACTTTAACCCTTATTTTCATTTTTTTTCTCTTTTTTTTTTACTTATTTGACATTTGAGTAAAGGAAAAAAGTATTTTACAGTACATTCTGGTTTCCTTCTCCTTCCAAGCATGTCTTGCATATATCCAAACAGGTCCGTTTTCAACAAATCCCCCCGCCAAAGGAAAACTAGAGAGAAAGGATTGCAGAGCGGTATTAAGGATGGAGGTGTCGTATTAGTGTACATGAAGCGTCTCTCAGGAACATTTGACATAATTACACTTTATAAACAAAAGGAAGAAAAGGATGAAAGTCCGTTGTGTTCAACCTGTAGCTGGAAGATGAACTCTGGAAAATTAAACAACAAATAATTTTTAGACCCCCTCCTTTTGTTTCAGTCCAGGTGCGTCACTTCTGTGCGTTTCCTCCACAATCCACGATATTCCAAATTCCAACTGAATTTCCCGGAGACATTTTTTTCCCCCGGTCGCGTCCCTCTGGGCCGCACCAAAGGGGGTGCGTTCAATAAACGCTGCTGGAAGTGAGCCACAAAAAAAAACAACTATAGTCCAGTTTTTCTTTTCCCTTTTTCATATCAAAAACTATACAACTCTTTAATCGCGCTCCTTTCTCCACGGTGGCATGAAAACAACAAACACAATAACAGAGAAGACTTTTACAATCGGAGAAGACAGACGCACGCGCACGCCGCTCCCATTCTCACATCAAACCTTCGTCGCGTCACATGCAAAGAGATCAACGGAAGAAAAAGGTTTCAGTCTGTAATCTAGGTTTTCTTACATTCTTCTTCTTGCCTCTTAAAAAAAAAAAAAACTGTTTTATTTCATTCATTTGAGCTCCATCGGGGGCGGCTACTTTGGCGTCGGGGCGGCCGACTCGGACGCGGCTGACGGAGTCGTCCTCCGCGGCGGAGAGGTGAGGCGGAAGCAGGATGATGAGGAAGCAGGAGGACGGAGAGGAAGAGCGGGAAGCCGGGCCGTTCCCCCCCCGGGTTGTTTTTTTAGATGGACGGCAGCGTCTGTGGAGAGAGGAGAGAAAGTTCAGGAATGACGGTCTGCATCAGTCACGGCGGTTTCTGGCGTAAACGGCTCTGCTTCTAATTACGGCACATTGGGCTAAACAACGCCGATGCCAGGGACCGCCGATCTACCCGACTAAATATGAATCCTGTGGCAACGCTTTCAACATGTGCGCGCCACATGCTTTAGTGCGTCTGCGATAAATGATACGTGTCCCTGATTTATTGGCAGTTATAGAGCGTCTGCTTCTGATAATCGCTCCGACCCTCAGAGATATTGGCAAACTCTAATAACTCTTTTGTTCAGACATTAACAGTTTCTTATGCAGAAATATGGAAAGATTAGTTTGATTTTCACATTTCCAGACAAAAATGTCTAAAAGAAACCAATTTTTTTGTTTTGCCATGTTTAATATTAAAGAGCAACTTTGGGAGTTTTTTTTTAATCTAGAAAAACAATAAAAGTTGAAAAGGAGCAGCTGGTGACTGTATTAAAGGAATAGTACACCCAAAACATGATTAGCCTTCATTTTCTACTCACCCCCATGCTGAACAACACTCTGGAGTACTTTTTTGATATCTCAAATGCATCTGGAGATCTGGGAGGCTTCTTGCTGTCTGCTGACATTCAAATAATGGAGGTCTATGGCGCCCGAGGCAGAAAGGTCCATAAAAGTCCACAAAAAACGTGTCAATATTCCTCCATACTGCTCGTCCAATGTATTCCAAGTGTCCTGAGTGGGTAGCATCCAGAATTTACTGGAAACAAAGTCATTTAGAATGTTTTTAGAGCATAAACAGTAGTGTATAGGATTTCCTGAAAGCGCGTTCACGAGTCTACGGAAACCGCGGCAGACCAAACCAGATGAAAGTGCGCATTCAGCTCGGCAAAGAACTCATGCTCTTCCTCAACGCTGAAGTCCTCAGACATTTTTCTTTCGTTGTTTCTTTCTTTGCACAGGTAAACAGCACATTTCTTCTTCTACGCTTGCATTATCGGCAGAGCAGACGCTGAATGCGCACTTTCGTCTGGTTTGGTCTGCCGCGGTTTCCATAGACTCGTGAACGCGCTTTTAGGAAATCCTATACACTACTGTTTATGCTCTAAAAACATTCTAAATGACTTCGTTTCCAGTAAATTCTGGACGCTACCCACTCAGGACACTTGGAATACATTGGACGAGCAGTATGGAGGAATATTGACACGTTTTTTGTGGACTTTTATGGACCTTTCTGCCTCGGGCACAATAGACCTCCATTATTTGAATGTCAGCAGACAGCAAGAAGCCTCCCAGATCTCCAGATGCATTTGAGATATCAAAAAAGTACTCCAGAGTGTTGTTCAGCATGGGGGTGAGTAGAAAATGAAGGCTAATCATGTTTTGGGTGTACTATTCCTTTAAGCTGGGCATACACTATAATTTTTTGCACTTTTCGGGCCGATTCCTCAGTTATGCGAGAATTTTTCAATCAGGCCAACTTTGTGCATCATTTAGTGTATTAAAGGAACATTGTTCTACAATTCTGGAGGATAAATTCCTCATGCTACGTTCAGACCGTGCTGTAGAGGCAGCAGAAGCAGCTAGTTTTCATGCAAAGTCAATGGTTGAAGAGCATCAAGACGCAGCAAAAGGTCCTGCAGTTATGGGAGAATTATCCTGCCATAATGCAAGAGCATATCATTTCAATTTGAGAAAAGAATTTCATCTTCTTGCACTCTAAACTTATAATGCTCACACTCAAAACATGCGCTCTCTCTCAAATATTTTCTCTTCTCTCTTAAATCTTTGTTTCTTCTCTCAGATTTAATGCTTCTTCCACAGATATTTTCTCCTCTCGCTTGCCTCCTTCTCTTCGCGCACACACCGCGCTCTGCTCGAGTCTCAGATACGCTCGCAAACCCGTAGGCTCTGCTTGCGAATTTTTTTTGCTCTCTCTCAGATTGCAGTTGGATCGTCACCTAGCAACCTTTCCAGCCAATAGAACGACAGCCTCGGAAAGGGTGCGCTTGTTTAACCCTACTGAGTGTGCCTGTGCTACTACGCCACTTATAAGACCGTCAGCTGAAACTGCAAAGTTCAGTACTTATGGATAACCCAAAAAAATTCTGAATTAAGTCATTTTAAACAATTAGGGGTTTGTTATGTACAAAAGCAAAGAACCGACATTAAATTATTATCTTGGAAAAATGTAACTTTAGCTGCTGGACATCAACCAATGAGAGAAGCTGATCTGGGAGCTGGCAGGGAGTCAGACGCAGCACTGCTGATGCAGAGCGCTATGATCACTCCTCTGAAACAGTTTATTAACGCCTAAATTAACTTCAAATGTAGAAACCTGCCGGCAGAATATGTTGGCTTTTATTATCCTGCTGCCTGCAGTTTGTAGCACAGACCTGAAAAACGCTAACATCTACTTCCAGCCGCCACCAACAGGAGGGGAAAACCCTGGAGAGGCGAGCGGGCCTGAGGCAGCTGCTGCTGGGGATTCCCAGTGACAGCGCAGCGCCGGTATGTGGGGGTCTGAGCGGCTCCCACAGAGAAATAATCTTTGAAGGCAGGATGGTAATCTGGATGAACTGACTGCACAGACCATGTTTTCAGGAGGACTTTCTCACTTCAACATAGATTCTAACTACTTTCTACCCGCTGATCACAGCTAATATAGCTGCCATTGTTCCAGGCAGAGAAAGGATAGAGTAGCTCCGCCCACCGCGCATCAGACCCGCTTTACCGCCGCGCAGCTAGAGCAGCAAAGATGCTTCGGCCGCGCATCAGAACTAAACTGGTACAAGCATCAGAAATGAAGCAGGACGCGCATTTTTGCTGCTCCTGCTGCTTTAGGTTTGAACTGGCGTTACACTTGATTTTAGTTTTAATAGCTAACAGTAACAGTGTCAAATTTCACTTTGCTTTGTCTCTATAAACGGTTTAATTTGGTATGTGGTGAACAACGAGTTGGGGCAGCACAGAGTCCAACCACAAAGAAATTAGGTGTCTGGCCATAACTGTATTCTATTTTTGAAATGTAAGCAGTAGAAATTAGAGATTAAAGCAAAAAAAAAAAAAAAAAAAAAAAAGATAGCCATGATTTCTACTTAAGTAAAGTCTTTGTATTTTGTTACTTGACCAATATCTATACCAGCAGCTGATGTTCTGTCCCAGGATCACCCAGTCAGACCTGCATACCTAGAGTCAGATCTGCGTTTATACCTTTAAAAAACAAAAAAGACTTTAAACTACCCCAACTTTAGTCTTTTACAAAAAAAAAAATACATTTTAGGTCAGATCGCCATACGCTTCAAAAAATACCAAAAAGTAAGTACTTAAATGCTTTTTTGTACATTACTAAATGAATGCACGCCTGTTGAAGTAGTTTAAAGTCTTTGTTTAGCACAAAACTACAGGCATAAATGCGTATGCTGGTCTTAGTCTATTTGTGGGGTGTTGAAGATACCCTAATATGAATCAAAGCACCCCTAAAATATCAGTTTTTTTTTTTTTTATATATATACTCTATGCACTTTTTACAATAAATAAAACACAAAACAGAAAAAAAATAACTGACATTGTAAAAACTATACTGTATTTAGTTATTCAACCCCTTCAATTATGTTCTAGTTCATCAGAAATAATAATAAACAAAACATAAACCAGTAAACCAGCCTGATGGAGCTCCTTCACTAAAATGTTGAGCAACGCTTTGAGGAAAATGCTGCATTCAGGTGTTTCTGAAATAATCCGTCAGATGTCTGCACCTATTGATGGTGTGTTGGTGAAACGTTCACCAGCGAGGTGCTCTGATGTGTATCAGGCTGCTCTTTAAAACACCAACTCAATATTAATATTTAAATTTACTGAATCTTTATTAAATCGTTATTAATTTTTTTCCAGTTTCTAGTTATTTGGATTGACAATCTATTTTCTGATTGCCAGTCTAACGAGGGAGAGGTGGTCAGGAAAAAACGGACTGGCAGAGAAAACATTTCATTCTTTATTATTCTACATCTATCATTGAAGGGATTTTGTACAGAAGACGATTAAAGCCACTGAAAAAATAAAAAACTGAACTGATTTTTAAATTTTATTTCGGTATAACATGAGGAAAAAAAAGTTAGAAATCTGACTTTAATCCCAGAATTTAAGAATTCTGAAATTTCTTTCCAAATTCTGACTTTTTTTCTCAGAATTCTTATTTTAGTATCAGAATTCTCACTTTGTTCTTAGAATTCTGACTTTTTTCTCCAAATTCTAACTTTAATCTCAGGAAAAAGTCGCCTAATTCCATCATTTTCCACCAATGTGTTCCTGTTTCCCAAACAACTGCAGCTGAGTTCTCTACATCTCTGCCTCCATGGAGCCCATCTACATTAAGATCCACAATTCTGAGATTAAAGTCAGAATTCTAATTTTAAAAAGTCAAAATTCAGAGAAAAAAGTCAGAAGTGTGACTTTTTTCCCCTATTAAACTGAAATAATACTTAAAAAACAGTTAACTTTTTTCTTTTTTCTCTCAGTGGCCCTAATCCTCTTCCGTAATTTTGGCGAACAAAAGAGAAAAATCATTTAATTAAAACTGATTCAAAGGTTTCCATGAAATAGTTGAAATATTCTTCTAAAGAAATGCTGCTTTTTGCTTGTTGCTCGTTTTTGACGCACGTCTCAGATATGATGCATTAGTCAGTCATTAGTGAAACGCACTAAACAAATTTCATAAATATGTGTAGAAAACAGTGAAATGAATCTTGTCGGGCCGGACAGCTCTCTGGGTGCTGAGCAACACTAAACCTTTGGTCCTTTACTGGAAAAGTCGAAATCTAGATGATTTTCTTAAAATAAGTGCATTTGTTCTTGGATTGAGGAGCTAAAAGAGACATTTTGCTAATGGAACGCAACAATTTAGATATAAAATAAGAAAACACAATTGGATTGTCTTATTTCAATTACCTTTTATCTAAACACTGCAAAAAATGTAAATCGAAGTAAGTCAATTTTTCTTAAAAGTGCATTTCTTCTTGAATTGAGCAGGTAAGTAAGACTCTTTGCCAATGAAATAAGACAATTTACATTTAAAATAAGAAAAAAAGACTATAGTCTCTTACTTCAAGCGCAAAATATCTAATTTATCTTATTTTAAGGGTAAAAATGCTCATTCCATTGGCAGATCATCTTATTTTCCTACTCAAATTTAAGGGTAAATACACTTGGTTAAAGACATTTTTACTAATTTTCAGAACGTTTTTGCAGTGAATATCTAAATACTAATTTAATTGGCAAACTATCTTATTCACCTACTGAAATTCAGGGTAAATACACTGAATTTAAGACATTTTTTACGTTCTAGATGTTTTTTCCAGTGTAGAATCGCCCCAGTAGAGCTCAGCGGAGAATAAAGCTTAATCTTTTTTGTGCCTAAATCATAAAAAGTTTACCAAGATATTAATGGCTGATATTTCAGCAAACTGCACCTCTGAGTGGGATCTTTGAATTCTCTGAGCTGTGCTGGGCTGACTGGTTGTCAGCTGCTGATTAATTCCTCTCATTAACATGCCACAGGCCACCGGCCTGCAGACTGATCACAGAACAGTGGCCATTGATCTGCTCCGGTTGCCTGGGGTGCTGCAACCTGCGTGTTAATTAACAGCCTCTGAAGCCGAGGGGCCGGCGGGGGGGTTAGAGACCCAGAATGAAACAGAACTCACCTAGACGACAGCTCCAGGAAACCCTCCGTTGTTTTCTGGTTGCCGATGATTCCGTTTCTCTCCACATTCTCCGTAGATTTCATCGTCTGTTTCTGGTTTATTGAACGATTCATAACGAGCAAAGAGTCCGCGGCTCCTGAGGGCCTGAAACCCGGATGGAAGAATCCAAAGTGTGTTTATCTGAGGTGTAGGAAGGAGGGCTTGGTGTTTTTTGGGGAAGACAGGGGTTAGGGAAGATCAAAGACGTTCTCTTTGACGCCCCCGAGGGACAGAAAATGGTGCATTCTGGGAGAAAAAAGGAGGCCGGAGAGAAACAAACAAAATAAAAACCATGCAGTCCTCAACCTCTGAGATGTTGGCAGGTAGAATCCACCGCTTTCTGAGATCAGATGGAACAGATCCGGCCGAGAGAGAAAAACCAGAGCGACGGCGGCCTGGGGGGGGGGGGCGCCGGTCCCGCACAAACAAGTCATTTACAATAAACACAGTCAGGAAATTCAGAAAGTTTGCTCCTCGGATTGTTCCAGAGAGAGAGGAGGAAGTGACATCCCGCCGCCTCCCTCCATCTTCTCAGACCTAAAGGCACTCCAGATCAGCCTCTCGGAAGCACGTTTTCAGCTGCGCCCCCCTCCCCGTAAATCCTAAAAGTTTTTCCGTTCTCCAAAACAACAAAGAGAGCAAAGTAAAGGTCGGGTTTTTGAAAAAACGTAGAAGCCCCTTTTTCTTCATCAAGGTCTTCTTTACTTTTTAAATCCAATTTAAAGTGCGTTGGTGAGGTAAACTACTTCTTCATAGTTTATTTGCCAGTTTTTTTTTTTTTATATATTTATTCTTTTTTATTACGTATTCGTTCTTTTGTAGGAAAAAAAGTGTCTTTGATTCCTTTGTTAGCGCCTCTCAGACAGGAACCATTCTGCCTTGGATGTGTTGCATTTGGGACAGCATAGTCTGGACGCTGGTCAGGATCTTGTTCTGATGTGCAGCAGAGGAGATGCCGATGCGCGCCATGTCCCTGAAACAGAGCACAAAATCAATCTTTTAGGACCGAAAAGGACGATAAAAAAAACAAACCTTCCTTTTTCTAACTGGGAAAATAAATATGTGCTACATTAAAAAAAACGTTGTCCTTTATTCAAGATGCTACATGCTAGCTCACACGGTTGGCTACATGCTGTAACTATCTGTGTCGCTTCATTTCTTAATATTTTTTGGCGATATTTTAAGCACAGAAATGAAATATTTTGTCAGGACTCCAGTCTGTGTTTGTTTTTTTGTGTTTGTCTCCCTTCATCCACCAGGAGGCGCCTGGTTCTGGTCCGCCTCCTCACACACCGGCTGATGGTTTCCTCGTTAACGGAGTGTTCTTAAGCTGCTGACTGCCACTACCTCGACGCCAGAGTGTTTGCCAGTTTTTGGTACTCTAGCCAAGCTGAGTTTTAACTTTGTTTTTTGTCTTTGCCTCTCGGCAGGAAGTTGTCCAGCAAACTGGACCTTTTCGGACCTTCACTCCCTGGAAGGATTAACTGAGCCTCAAACTGAGCTGGGGTTTCAACTGGAGGTTTGGATCCATTTTCCCAGAGAGGACGTTGAGTTTACACACTGAGCAAGGGGATCATCTCCACTACGACCCGTTCAAGTACCGCAGGAAATCTGAGTGGCAGTCAGTTTCTCCGTTCACCTACAACCGACCGTGTTCCGGGTAAACCCTGTTCCGCCCTCCACCGATTCAGACTAACACTGGAATACAGCAATCAGATTGGAGTCAAAGATTCTACAACTTCTCTGGAAACGTGAGTGAACAACCAGATCCTCTTCTCCAAATCCACAAATGAAATTTCCCACTGAGCCTGAACAAATCGCTGTGTCTTCCCCTCACTTTCCAGTTCTCGGTGAGCAGATTTCAGAGCAAGCTTTAGAGCTTTAGATAAAACCATTTCAATATAACATAACCAATAAACATGCTGTGTAAATTCATGGCTGCGCCAAAAATTGTAAAGGTCCCGGAAGTTAAAAAATTAGCCTAGCAAAAACAAAAAAATGGGAAAATTCTGCAAGTGGAAAAAACAACTAAAGCTTAAAAAATAGCTGCAAACTACGGCGCATGATGGAAGTACTCCACGCCACTAGGGGGAGGCGATCAAAAGTCTGTGAAACTCAATGTTCTGCTGCATGAGGATGTGATCCTAATGGGATCAACTGACCATCTGGGTAAATATTAATGTTCGTGCGAAATATTTGCATGACTCCGCTAGATGGATTTGCTCCGCATATCCATCTGGAAACCTTCCGTTGGAGTAATTTTGGGAAAGGGCGAAAATACTGGTTAGCTGATTGGCCTATGTTGGTGATAGACGGGCCAAATAAACCAATCAGATCAACGAAGCATATGACGTACTAACAGAGCGACGACGAAAACACAACCACAAGCCAGGCTACTCTTGCCAAAACCAGTCGGGAGGAGAGCAAAAACATCTTTTCCTCTGAGAAAAGCCTCCAGAGCAGTGTTTTGCTCTTCTTTCAGTGAAGAAATACTCTGTAATTCCCGTAAAACTTGCTCGATAGCCACGCTAACGCTAGTTTCATCGGCTGAAGCCGCCATGTTCTTCAGACTGAACTGTCGCGCTTCTCGTTGCGTCACACCTCAACCCGCCTCAAAGCCAACGCTGATTGGACGTTTGTTTGGTGAACAGCTCCAAATTTTCTTTAACGGAGAGTCTCCAGACTGATCTGCGAGTGAAATCTTGCGAGATCAGGATGGTCTCACGAGGCTAGGAAATATTGGACGTTTTAGTCAAAAAGTAGGTCATGCAGTGAGTTTCCCTTTCAGGCTAATAAAATCATAAAACGAGTGAAGAAACTTTAACATTTCGTTGGTTTAAATAAATTACAGCCTTCTACATACTTTCTCCTCCCGTTTGAACTTACTCCTGTGTCATATGAACCACAGCTTCCGGGGTGGTGTAGCCGGCGGCGGTGAAGTTGTCGCCGTATCGCTCCATGCCAATGGCCAGTAGCCAGTCCTCCACTGTGCCCAATGCGGAGGACGCCTCAGGGCTCCCTGGCTCCAGTAGGGTGGTGTTTGGCCTTTAGTGGGTGAAAGACAGAACAAAAACTATTTAATACAAACTATCGACTTTTTCATTTTTATAAAGTCGTTTTAATCCTTTGTCCAACTCATCGATCCCATCCAGGACGCGTGGAGCCAGACTCAAACCGACCTGAGAACTGTACTGTATATATTAATGATGTTTTTTCTCCCACACTGTTTACATTTGATCACTGCTTCACTTTATGGAATGGAAATGTTCATTTACTGTCTGGAAAGCTGTGCTAAACGATCAGTGTATACAACATGACAATGAAAGTTGTCTAAGTCTAAAGTCTCAGTCTAAGGTCATAAAAGACAAGATAGGAACCTAGAGTGATGCAACGAGCTGCTTTTCTTAGACAGAAAGGTTTAACTGATCTCCCACTGAGCAAAAATCAGTTGAGAAGGCACCGAAAAGACGACATGATTTACACCCAAAGGTTTCCACATTTGGTTAAAAAGAGAAAAGCCATAATTCTCAGGTTGTTGGAAAGAAATTGAAAACTGCGTTTCAGCCCAATTTTCAACAACTAGGTCTGGACTAAACCAAGATTATGACGGACCGACCAGATTTAGCCTGAAAACCAACATCTAATGTTTGGGGGTCAGAATGAATCTGGTTAAACTGATCACATGTTGTTATTTGGAGCTAATTTGAATTTTTTGAGAAGATGATGCAGGTTGAAAAGCAACAAATTAATCCCATCAACATCCGATCTTTGACATGAACATCCCACATCGGGAAATTTTGAGCATGTGACTCCATCCTGGAGAGAAATATCAGCTGTGCTGCTGCCATCAACACCTTTGTTTCTAGATGTTGGAGCTTAGCCTGTTTTCCAGTGTAGTCCTGTTTCTCTGACTGTGACTAACTGGATGTGCTCTCTTCATCCTCTGACATGGGAGCTGGCTCGGAGCTCGTCTGCCTGGCTGTGTGTTTCCTGGACGGGGCCTCCTGTGGAGCTGGTTGACAGTTGCCTTTTGTATCTATGCTTCTTTTTCTATGTCTGCTTCTGTCTCCTTGAACCCCAGTGGGCCTCAGCAGATGGCCGCTCACACTGAGCCTGGTTCTGCTGGAGGTTTCTTCCTGTTCAAAGGGAGTTTTTCCTCTTCACTGTCGCTACAAGCATGCTTAGTGTGAGGGATTGCTGAAGAGTCAATGAGTCGATGCAATCAGCTGGTTTTCCTTAGATAGAAAACTTTGAATCAATCTGACTGGATGATCTGGTGAACTGGAAAGTGACCTGAGATGACATGATGTCATAACTTATCCAACGTATGCTAACATTTTTGCCAGAGTTTTCGTACGTCGGCATACGCTGGTCTAAATCATCAAGGTGTTTCCAGGAGCTTCACCTCGTCATAGTTTGGGTCAAATGGGACAGCAGGGTGTTGGGAGGACAGTAAGCTCTAAATACTTTCTCCATAACTAACTGGGAGTGTTTGATGGCGCCAGTTATCAGCTTTGGTGGGAAGTTACTTTCTAATGTATCTTGACGTTGCTCTGCTAAACGTCCCCCACCCCCCCTGATAAAGGAAACCATGTTTTTCAGAACTGCTTGTTTTTTTTCTCTTGGTTAATCTTCTGTCTGGTTTTCAGGTTTGAGTTGCTGATCTGTGAGGAAACAGCAGAAACAGAAGAAGTCTGTGATGGAAACGGCGCAGCAGAGCGAAAGCGGAGAAAATGGTCACGCTACATTTCTCCTTAGCTGTTAGTGTTTGATGGAACGAGCACATCTGTCGGGTTCGCCGCTGGTTTGTGTTCCTGCAACCAGTTCCTCCCCGATGAGCCCGACGTTGCTTAGTTCATCCGTAGTTTACAGAAGGGAACCAAACCTGCACACCACGGGGCGTTCTGCAGCACAGCTGAGTCCCTCGCCACCTTCACATATTCATCAGCGTACCATCCCCCCCCCTGTTTTTGTTTTTATTCCCTCTCAACCATGAAAAATGTTCATGGAGCCAAAGACTTATAGGCTGCCGTCCCGCTCTGGTTACTCTCTCCCTTTTCCACGCTCTCCATCCTGTTTTATGATTTTGTTCTCTTTAGAAAAGGTGAAGTGAGGTCATGTTCGACGCTTCTCCGCTGCAGAGATCCCTTTAAACTCCTTCCTGCTCTGTAACTATAAAGAGCCTCGTTTAGAGGATTCAGGGCAGCTAATTACTCCACCAGGACTCCCTCCCAGCTCCTACTGTGTCCCATTAGGTGACGGCGCCTCCCGCCCGCCTGCCGCTCACACGCTCGTCAACGTCTAACAGACTCCCGCCGCTCCGCGTCGAGTCTGTAAACACACACAGAGGTCATCCTCCTCGCATTTAGCCACCGGAGAGTAATGGTGGCGTAGACGCAGGGCTGTGTTTGTTTTTAACTCGGCGTAACATCGTAATCCCCTCCCCCCCCTTTAGAGAGATTCCTGAATGTACGGCGCCATTAAAGCGAGTATGTAGAGAAATCCATTAGGGAGGGTATCTGTGCGGAAAACGGCCACAAAATGCAGCAGGATAATGGTTAATGTGAACAGAAAGCATGAGTGTGGGTCGGCTTGTGTGGCCAAACACTAACTACATAATATATAGGCAGCGCATTACCTGCATTTAGCGGCTAGTATATCATTAATCACATATTTGCAGGTTGCTTCTAGAAAATATTTTTTTTTCTAAGCTTTCTGTGAAAGAAGCTCAAGCTGAGTCAGACTTTAGAGATTATTATAAGATAAAACACATAATTATTAAACTCGTAGGGAAATCATACATGTCAAATCATTCAGGCTTAAACATGTATTTAAATATACTCTTTATCAGACGATATTGTCAGAAAATGTTGAAAATTTCTATTTAAAAAAATCCTGTCTTAAAATCGTTTTTTTTTTCTATTATCTTCTGCAGGCCAGTTAGTTCTACGTCAGCCTGAACACCTAAATTTGGCCAATCATAGATCAACGGTCTAGCCTAGTGAGACCATCCTGATCTCGCGAGCTTTCAAGGTTTCACTCGCAGATCAGTCTGGAGACTCTCCGTTAAAGAAAATTTGGAGCCGTTCACCAAACGAACGTCCAATCAGCGTTGGCTTTGAGGCGGGTTGAGGTGTGACGCAACGAGAAGTCTAAAGAACATGGCGGCTTCAGCCGATGAAACTAGCGTTAGCGTGGCTATCGAGCAAGTTTTATGGGAATTACAGAGTATTTCTTCACTGAAAGAAGAGCAAAACACTGCTCTGGAGGCTTTTCTCAGAGGAAAAGATGTTTTTGCTCTTCTCCCGACTGGTTTCAGCAAGAGTTTGATCCATCAATTGGCTCCTCTTCGTCGTCGCTCTGTTAGTACGTCATATGCTTCGTTGATCTGATTGGTTTATTTGGCCCGTCTATCACCAACATAGGCCAATCAGCTAACCAGTATTTTCGCCCCTTCCCAAAATTACTTCAACGGAAGGTTTCCAGATGGATATGTGGAGCAAATCCATCTGGCGGAGTCAGGTTAGAGAATGAGGCCGTAGATCCAAAATGTCAGTTAAAAAGTATTTTAATTTTGATTTAAAGTAGAAAGATTTACTTTGCTGCAGGCGAGGAGAGAGAGTCAGGCTTATGTTCATCTCATGGAGGGGGTCAGACTTTGGTGCTTTTATGTCACCAATGTCTCCATTTACACAGAAAAAAGTAACTAGATTTGGCGCTAGCTTCTTTTTTGAAACAAAGGCGCTGAAGGGGTCTGAAAAGATGCTAGCTTTAGCAACAAAAGCGCAACACTGTTGTAGTCGGAAAAAAAGTATTCAACTATTCACCCTAGTTAAATAAACAGAGATTGACGGATTTCACTAAGTCGGGATTTTATTTTCGTATCTTTGCAAAGAGAGAACAGTTCCTCATACGGCCCTTAAGCACGGTAATCAGCCCTGTTCTGACTAGACTGAGTTTGTTTCCCTTATTTTGATGAAAAAACTGCGAAGGTTGTGTCAGAGTCTAAACAAATTACACACATTTTAACAAACCTTGGGAGAGAATTTGACTTGACTTGTCGTGGGATTAAATATGTTTTGTCTACAACCACCCCTCACTCAGACATTTTCTCAGCTTTGCAGGTGAAAGAAACAGAGTAAAAACATTTTTTAACGGATAAATAGCATAAATAAATATATAAGACAAGAGAAATCTAAATTTTCCGACCACACTGGTTTGCAGCATTGGGCGTTTTTTGGCATAAAGAATCATTCAGCCGCTGCAGACGGTGGGAAATCCCGCAGTGACCAGGTGGTCCGAGGGAGCTGTGACGGGGGATTTCCAGAGCCCCTACCTGCCTGTATGTGGAGTAGAAACTGACATTTTTTCGGGAATCCCACAGGTCACGGGATTCCCGTGGGATGGGAGTCAGTATTAGTAGCGATCACGTGATCGGGACGGTACAGGATTAAACATTAACGGGAGCAGACGGGAGCGGGAGCAAGCCAATAGTAACTAAAAAAAACTAGGATCGATGCTAAAAAATAAAATAAAAGAAAAAGAAAAAAAATCCAGTACTGGCGCCGCCATTTTGTAGTTTTTTTCCTTGAAGCCTACACTATAATGCAAGTCAAAAAAACTACGCGACCCAAAAACCAACAGTGCTTCCGCTCTGAGTTTTTCACCCGCGCTCAAAAACAGCAATGGAGGGACCAACAGTTAGCGGCGAACTCGACTTCGAAAAGTTTGATTGTTTTGATTGTTTATTCACCTAAGATAAGCATGGTCTGTTTCCTTGTTTGTTATTTTTATTATGTATTTATAATTATTATTCCTTTTACTTTAACTGACCTTTACTACAGTTAGAAACAGGAACTTAACTGACCCTTCATAGAAATTCAGATTCAATGCATTGGCAGAAATCTTATTGAAGACAACAAGAATGGGAGTGGTGCAGGAGCGGGAGTCATTCTGAATGGGAGTGGGAGTAATTTCACCAGGAGTGGGATGGGACAGGATTTAGATTTCTACTCTGGCCCGGGATCGGGACGGGACACCATTTTTTTCTGTGGGAGTGGGACGAGACAGGAGTGAAAATCCACTCTCGTGTCAGTCTCTAATGTTGAGCTCTGCTGCCCATGAAAATTTCTTAAAACTACTTTATTCCCAAATACTAAAAAAAAAACAACAGAGCAACTATTCTGATCGTATCTGCCATTTTTCACAGAGACCAGCTGAAACATTTGATGCAAATCAAGGGTTTCAAAAATGCTTCCAAGAGTCCAAGTGGAGGCATCGGACGCCTCTTTGAAGCTAAAAACATGTTCGGTTTGAATACAGCGTAACTTATAACACCATTAGTGGTATCAAAGTAAAGATTGTTGAAGAACACCAAAGTACGTCGCAATTTTCTTTTGAACGCATCATTTCCTTAGCCTGGGTGCCATTCCGAACTTAGTCCCGCCCACAATGTTTGAGGTCGGGAAGTTCGGTCTGGCATTGCTCAATAGTAGTGCAAGTATGCTAGCACAATATCTGGCGGGCCAATCAAATTGTCAGGGCGGGCTTTATACGATGATGGACAGATGATCAACAGTAACATAATCAACCACGTCACCAAACGGCGATGCAACTCGGCGTGAACGGCGAGGCGGATATAGCCAGCGGTCGTTGCCAGCTCCTTTTCGGAAGCCCGGAATCCTGGCTGCTGAACAACATGCTAGGCTCCGATGTTTTCAAGCCAACGTTATGGGTATCGTCGTGGACGAAGTTCATCTAACTTACAAATGGTAACAGATCATCTGACCTTCTGATTTTGTAAATAACTCGCAATGTCGTGATATTAATCCCATGTTGTAAACATAGTAGGAAACGTACGTTTGAGGTCGGGAAGTTTAACATACGTCACGCACTCCGTTGCTCTTATTGGTTGTAGGTCTATCCCATTGAGTGCAGAGGCATTTTTTTCCTGGTTTGTTCGAAACACGCCCCATAATCACAGCTCTATGGAGCAGCATCAGACTCATTCTGACTAGAATTGAGTCGGACTACGTCAGGCTATCATTTCCTTTCACACAGAGCCAGCATGTCAGAGTCCACATTATGTTTGGGTGAAAGTTTAGCCTCAGTTTTAGCGTCACTGCTCCCTCACCTGGCAGCGGCCTCACCCCCTGTCCTCTTCAGGGTGTTGGGGTTGCGGATCAGCTTGTCCAGCATGTTTACGATCTGCCCGAACTTGGGCCGGTCGGCTCTCTCTCGCTGCCAGCAGTCCAGCATGAGCTGGTGGAGAGCCACGGGGCAGTCCATGGGCGGAGGCAGCCTGTAGCCTTCATCAATAGCCTTGATCACCTACCAAACAGAAGATGGCATGAAACACTCAGCTTCAGGTAGGTTCATTTAAGGTCATTTATGATATAGAGACAAATAAACCAGATCGTATTGTTGGTGTTATGAGAGTTCTTAGTTAAGGGGTTGAATGATAAAACCTAACCCAAGCTTCCTGTTACTGACGACCTTTTATGCACTTTTCCTCTGACTTACGTCTTGGTTGCTCATGTCCCAGTAAGGTCGCTCCCCGTACGACATCACCTCCCACATGACCACGCCGTAGCTCCACACGTCACTGGCTGAGGTGAACTTCCTGTACGCTATGGCCTCTGGGGCCGTCCAGCGAATGGGGATCTTGCCTCCCTGTAATTGAATGCCGGGCTGATTAATTAAAGCTGGCAAATAAGGTGACAGGCAGACAGAGCGCTCACACTAACACGCTCACCCTGGTGGTGTACGCAGCCTCCGGGTCGTCCTCTAGCACTCGAGACATGCCGAAGTCAGACACCTTGCACACCAGGTTGCTGTTTACCAGGATGTTGCGAGCGGCTAAGTCACGGTGAACGTAGCTCATGTCGGAGAGGTACTTCATGCCTGATGCAATGCCACGCAGGATACCAACCAGCTGGATGACGGTGAAGCGACCGTCATTCTTCTGCAAGAAAAGATTCGATTAGATTAGATTAAACTTCATTGTCATTACACAGGTACAAACAAGGCAACAAAATGCAGTTTAGGTCTAACCAGAAGTGCAATAGCAGCAAGTGCAGGATAAATAATGGTTCTATAAATACAGGACATGGGTTTCTACTGAATGAGTATAGAGATGAATACTATTATAAACAGAATTTTACTAACAGATGAATATATTATATAATATAAAAGGAAACCCAGAATATAATTTTAAAATCCTCCTTCTCACATATAAAGCCTTAAATGGCCAAGCTCCATCTGATATCAGAGATCTGATTGTTCCTTATGTTCCTAACAGAGCACTGTTAGGAACATAAGGAAGCAACAAAAAACACATTTCCATCATTGTTTTTTAATGCATATTTTGATGTATTTCACACTAGAGGAGCTTCAATAAAGCAATTTGCTAGAAGTGTTTGACTTTTTCTCAAAATATTGCGCTAAAGAAGAGAAGGAAATTTGCAGAAGAAGTAGGAAACATTTAACCTGACTCCGCCAGATGGATTTGCTCCGCATATCCATCTGGAAACCTTCCGCTGAAGTAATTTTGGGAAGGGGCGAAAATACTGGTTAGCTGATTGGCCTATGTTGGTGATAGACGGGCCAAATAAACCAATCAGATCAACGAAGCATATGACGTACTAACAGAGCGACGATGAAGAGGAGCCAATTGATAGATCAAACTCTTGGCGAAACCAGTCGGGAGAAGAGCAAAAACATCTTTTCCTCTGAGAAAAGCCTCCAGAGCAGTGTTTTGCTCTTCTTTCAGTGTAGAAATACTCTGTAATTCCGTTAAAACTTGCTCGATAGCCACGCTAACGCTAGTTTCATCGGCTGAAGCCGTCATGTTCTTTAGACTGAACTGTCGCGCTTCTCGTTGCGTCACACCTCAACCCGCCTCAAAGCCAACGCTGATTGGACGTTCGTTTGGTGAACGGCTCCAAGTTTTCTTTAAGGGAGAGTCTCCAGACTGATCTGCGAGTGAAACCTTGAAAGCTCGCGAGATCAGGATGGTCTCACGAGGCTAGGAAACATTTCACTCAAAAGTCTAATCACCTGTTTCCACTGCTGGCGTCCTAAAAGCAGCATTAGAACGTCTCCAGACAGCATGAACCTTCACTAATGACAGCTGACATGATAAGTCGGGAAAACATCTCGCTCTATTACCGAACTACCTAGCTAGCTCTATTTCCTCTTTACTACAGCCCAGAGTAACCTAAACCTAAATGATGACATTATGCTTTGCATAATTCCCTCCAATTGATGGAAACGTGTCTATTTTACACATTTTTAAAAAATATGTCCAAAATTGCTGTGACGTTTGGAAGGAACAACAGTTATTGAGGCGTCTTAAAGAAAATTTAAATTGTCAGTTTCACTATAACTCTGGTGAATTTCAATGGTGAAGTCCTCTGGAAATCTTCAATAATTGTTGTTGATTGCAGATGTGTCTAGTAGTTCCCATTGATTTAGCTTGGAAAGCGGGGAGAATGGCGCTAGGCTGGAAAAAATCGAAATCTAGTATTTTTTTCTTAAAATAAGTGCATTTGTTCTTGGATTGAGGAGGTAAAAGAGACAATTGGCCAATGGAACAAGACAATTTACACTTAAAATAAGAAAAAAAACAATTGCATTTTCTTATGTTAAGTGCATATTATCTAATTTTCTTATATTAAGAGTAAAATACTCATTCTATTGGCAGACTATCTCATTTACCTACTCAAATTAAGGGTAAATACGCTTAATTTAAGAAATTGTTACTTATTTTTAGATTGTTTTTCCAGTGTAGGCTTACCGCACCGTGACGTCACTGCCGGAACATGGCAGGGGGGAGGTGTTAATATATTTGGGCAAAAATGGCCGCTCCCAGACTCAGTGACCGCGACAAAATTTTTTTATTTATTTTTTTTTTCACTGATTAAGACTAAAAATTATTAAATCACAGCAAACATATTCGTTTTGATTATTCCTTTCTGACCGGACTTTTCCTTTAAGTACACTGCAAAAAATGTAAATCTAAGTTAGTAAATTTTTCCTAAAACAGGGCATTTCTTCTTGAATTGAGCAGGTAAGTAAGACTCTTTGCCAATGGAATAAGACAGTTTCCATTTAAAATAAGAAAAAACAACTATATTCTCTTACTTCAAGTGCATAATATCTAATTTATCTTATTTTAAGGGTAAAAATGCTCATTCCATTGGCAGATCATCTTATTTTCCTGCTCAAATTTAAGGTAAATACACTTGTTTAAAGACATTTTTACTAATTTTCAGAACGTTTTTGCAGTGTAAACTATTTTGAAAATCCAGATGCTGCGATCATTCAGGTTGCCTTAGGAGTGAAATCTTGTGAGTATTTGCATTGGTTCTTCTGCAGCGTCTAGCAAAAGTAGAATTGGGTTGATTTTGCCGGACGGCCATCTTGGGGAATACACTGTAAATACTCTCACTGGTTATAAATGATGCGTAACTGCAGCTCAGTTTGCAGCATGAGAGTTTTTTACAAACCATGACTTTTAAAATCATTTGGTTTCCGCTGGCAACCTGCCTTTGACTTCCCAGTCTTTAGTATTTCCGTTTGAAAAGCAGAAAAGAAAAACTGCTCATATTATACAGTTAGAAACTAAAAAAACTTTTCAGTTAATTCTATTTTTTCTTTAAGGATTTGGGTCGAGAAAGTATCCAAAAGTAAGGATCCTAAACCACAATATTTGACAGTAAAAGCAGCTTTCTTTAGACGTGTTTTTATTCCACTAATCCTGATGGATCCGTGGTGTTTTTACAGGCCCATAAAGCTAATCTTTGCATTTCCGTTAAATGTGGGCCTGTTCCCCGGCGTGTTCTGTGTATCCTGGGATCAGTGAGCCCCTGGAGTTCAGCCAACCTGAAAAACGGAGGTGAAACCTTGTTGTCGAGCTGATCATCAAAGCGGATAAGGATTAGGGTCTGTGTTTGTGAACCGACACTTGTTATTTCAGCGGATGACATTACAGAGATAAGGCGGCGTCGGCAGGCTACAGCCGTGTCGCACGCCGATGCGTGTGGAGAGAAAACGCATGACTGACCCTCAGGAATGCATCCAGCGATCCGTTCTCCATGTACTCCGTGATAATCATCACCGGCTTACCTGGAGAGAGACAACAGAGCGGGAGAAAGAGAGGCAGGTGATTATGGATGGAAACATGACAGCAGGTGGGATGCTGAAGGAGCGGCCATCTTTCCATCAATTACAGCTCCTTCACCATCCTGTTTATCAGCACATTCAAAACAAAATGTCTCCCAATGAAACAAACCCCCTCCACAAAACCCACGCTGTCTTGTCTTCATGCAAATATGAAGCAGATTCTATACTTCTGGCCAAACAGTAAGACGGAGTATTAGGGCCAGGATAGAGATTTTTTTCTATTACGAGAACAAAGTCGCAATCAGAATAGCCATAAAATTACGAGAATAAAATTGTAAATTATCAAAATAAAGTCGTAAATTTATGAGAATACAGTCGTAAAATTATGAGAATAAAGTCGTAAAATTACGAGAATAAAGTCGCAATGAGAATAGCCATAAAATTACGAGAATAAAATAGTAAATTATCAAAATAAAGTCGTAAATTTATGAGAATACAGTCGGAGAATTATGAGAATAAAGTCGTAAATTTATGACAATAAAGTCGTAAAATTACGAGAATAAAGTCGCAATGAGAATAGTCATTAAATTACGAGAATAAAGTTGTAAAATTACGAGAATAAAGTCGCAATGAGAATAGCCATAAATTACGAGAATAAAATTGTAAATTATCAAAATAAAGTCGTAAATTTATGAGAATACAGTCGGAGAATTATGAGACTAAAGTCGTAAATTTATGAGAATAAAGTTGTAAAATTACGAGAATAAAGTCGCAATGAGAATAGCAATAAAATTACGAGAATAAAATAGTAAATTATCAAAATAAAGTCGTAAATTTATGAGAATACAGCCGGATAATTATGAGAATAAAGTCGTAAATTTATGAGAATAAAGTCGTAAAATTACGAGAATAAAGTCGCAATGAGAATAGCCATAAAATTACGAGAATAAAATTGCAAATTATCAAAATAAAGTCGTAAATTTATGAGAATGCTAGTCGTAAAATTACGAGAATAAAGTCATAAAATTACGAGAATAAAGTCGCAATGTGAGAATAGCAATAAAATTACGAGAATAAAATCGTAAATTATCAAAATAAAGTTGTAAATTTATGAGAATACAGTCGGAGAATTATGAGAATAAAGTCGTAAATTTATGAGAATAAAGTCGTAAAATTACGAGAATAAAGTCGCAATGAGAATAGTCATTAAATTACGAGAATAAAGTCGTAAAATTATGAAAATAAAGTCGTAAATTTATGAGAATTAAGTCGTAAAATTACAAGAAGCAAGTTGTATTTTATAACAACTCTTCCAAGAAGCCCTTTCTTCCCTAAAATGAGGAATGTGGAGCATCATGTGAAGTTAAACTTTAGCATCGGTTTGACAAATCAGGAAATCTTTTAGCAGCAGCATCAACCTGGGCACAATGTCAAAGTGGACTCTGATTGGTGGAGCTGGTCGGACGTCATCTGCTGGGCGGAGCTCCAAGCTTTCTTTCTGAAACAGGTTTTGGTTTGATGACGTCATTCTGGTAATATTACAACTATATTCTCCTAATGTTACGACTTTATTCTCAAAAAAAAAAAAATCTCTATCCGGCCCAAATACTCCGTCCTACAGCAGTAATACTCTCTAGGTAAATGTTCAAACATGTTAAACATTTTAATCTTTCATATATTAACAATTACTTGACAACTAAAATTCTGTGGTTAAATATCACATCTAATTACATTAAAGTTGATTAATACAGAATTCATTCTCTTTTCAGAACTAAATTTATGTTATTTGTGCTAAAGAGAAAAGAGTCTTCAGTGAAATCAGAGATAAATAAATTCTTTAATAATAACTTAAAAATCCATTTAATGTAGATATTAGTAGATGTAAATATTAATTTTATGCAGAACATTTTTTTTATAAAAGTATGGAAATGGAAAAGATGTTCGGCCCAGAAATGTTTTCTACTGTACCTTTAATTTTTTCTTAATATATGCGTCTATTTGTTAGCAAAGGCTGTAGGAAAGTATAGTTAATCTTTATTTAGAAAATATGGATGTTATGGTCGCTCATTTTCCTGTTGGAACAGCATAGATTCACCGTGAGGTTCCGGCGCCGCTCTGCTTTCGGCCCCCCCTCAGCGTACCTTGGTTAATGCCTGGCCCCCCTTATTAACATTTTCTGGCTATGGCTCTGTCACTGGCTGCCCCTTTGCCCTCTCTCTTCTCTGTCAAATTTCAACGCATCTGTCACTCTGTCGAACCCCGCCACTCCTCTCTGGCCTCTTTTAACCTTTCCCTTTCTGATGCCGTCGGAGGCGGGGCGTCTGCGTCTTTATCTGAGCCGAGGCAGAAGGCCGACCGGCCGGACGTCGGTCGCTACCGTTAAAGAAGGAACGTTTGTTTACATCCCAAAGCAGCAGTTGTGTTTCATTATATCCGGCCCCCTTTGATGCCCCTTTAAAAACCCGGTAGAGTCAACGTCCTTCACCGACCGCCGGACTGGACGGTGCTCCTCTGATTGGTCAATAAATACATAAAACAAACATCTAAACCTCCTCAATGAAAAGGTTGGAATAAAGGAAGAATCAAGCGGATTGATGGGAAGTCTGCAGGAGCTAACCACACTGGAAAAGATCGACATCTAGATAAGATTTTTTCTTAAAATAAGTGCATTTGTTGTTGGATTGAGGAGGTAAAAGAGACATTTTGCCAATGGAACAAGACTATTTAAATTTAAAATAAGGAAACACTATTGCATTGTCTTATTTCAAGTGCATGTTATCTAATTATCTTATTTTAAGAGTAAAAATACTAATTTCATTGGCAAACTATCTCATTAACCTACTAATTATGGGAAAATAAACTTAATTTAAGAAATTTTTACTTATTTCCAGATGTATGAGTCAACTGGGCAGCTAACAGCCGTTCACTGAGAGACGGGGGCCTCCATGGAGCCCCTACCTGCCTTTAAAACCCCTGAAAGCCTGAATTTAGACATAAAATTCAATTCTATTCAGTTTATTTCTATAGCTCCAATTCACATCATGTCATCTCAGGTCCCTTTCCAGTTCACCAGATCATCCAGTCAGATTGATTCAAAGTTTTCTATCTAAGGAAAACCAGCTGATTGCATCGACTCATTGACTCTTCAGCAATCCCTCACACTAAGCATGCTTGTAGCGACAGTGGAGAGGAAAAACTCCCTTTGAACAGGAAGAAACCTCCACCAGAATCAGGCATCGTAATCAATGTTAGATGAAATGGAAGTTATTAATCTCAAAATTGCCTTCATAATTATTTGAAATGTACACTGCAAAAACAATCTAGAAATAAGTGAAAATTCCTTAAATCAAGTGTATTTTACCTTAATTTTAGTAAGTAAATGCAATGATTTGCCAATGGAATAAGCATTTTTACTCTTAAAATAAGATAATTAGATAAAATGCACTTGTAATAAGACAATGCAGTTGCTTTTTCTTATTTTAAATGTAAATTCTCTTGTTCCATTGGCAAAGCGTCTCACTTACCTCCTCAATTCAAGAACAAATGCACTTAGTTTAGGAACAAATTACTTATTTAGATTTCAATTTTTTGCAGTGTAGGTATGATGCTAATTAGCGACAGCAGGCGTTTAAGTAATAAAACAAATATTCAACCTATTCATCTTCTGGATGTTTGTGGTGCTTCCAGCAGTGCTGCCTCCTCCTGCCATAACAAGCTAACTGTCCTCCATTACTGCAGTTTTTCATGATTCCTCCAAAGGCTTGAAGATCAGCAGCAGATTTGAATTTTTAAGAATCATTTTTGGTGATTTTAGTTTGGCCCTTTAACCAGTTGATCTCAGTCTGTTCACTTTTTCATATTAATGTTGTTTTTCTCTCAGATAAGTCCTAAAATTAAGTCCAAATATCAAAGAGTCAAACCGTGTTAGAACTCACTTTTAAATCACCAGAACTTTTCTCACCAAGCGCCTTTATTTACAAACTAAAGTTTTTGAGCTATTTTTCATCCTTTGCTGTTTTTCTTTACTTGTCGCTGCTTCTTGGCCTGGAGTTTTTTCCATTGGGACCATCCTGGTTAAATAGAGTTTAAATTAAAATCTTGCATTGTTCTCCTATGAGCTGCTATAAAAGTTTCGCAATAACAAGTTCAAACTTTTCTAGATAAAAGTCAAAACCAAAAAACATCACTTCACTGTTTCATGCATCAACATTGAATTAGAGGATGAATTAATGATTTATCATCAATATTCCTATAAACATTTTAGCATAATGGGAATAAATGCATTGAATTTCACTTTCTTATAATGATATTAAAATGATCCATATTACTAATTATACTCATCTCTGTTACTTAAATGTATTTTGATGCGTCGAGCAGGAAAAGTTCAAATTTTCCTTCTGATGCACCTTGATGCGCCTCAACCATAGACTTTGCATGTAACCCGTTGCTGCTGCTCAAAGCGCGTGCGCTGTGGTCAAAATATGGCGGTAAATATGTGCCACAAAATGGGCTTAAATCGGAGGAAACATTAATCCTATCTAGTGCTGCCAGATGAGTGAAAAGCTTCATTTATAGCTTGTTTTGTTGATGAGGTGGTTTATATTTCAGGAAGACCTACAGAGATCCCATAAATCAAAACATACGAACCCCCCCCAAACACATCAAATTATTCAAAGGAAAATTGTGAAAAAGTTCAGCAGACATAAAAACTTTTCCAAAGTTAAAAAAATGAATCTATTTAAAGTGAAGATCAACAATAATGTCAGAACCAGCAGGAGGTGGCGTGGGGAACTGGACACCAGCGTCTCTGAGGTACCCGCTGGTCGCCGCCGGTCGCCGCCTCACCGGCTGCATGATTGGCACTCCGTTAATTGGGGGGGACTCCAGTGATGCCCAAGAACAGGAAGTGGAACCAAAGTCTGGGGGCCCTCTTTGTCGGCCATCTTTGTTCCTTTTGTCGCAGGCTCCTGCCCCGGGGCAGCCGCTGATTGACAGCTGTGCAATAAACCCTGAGGAGCGTCTGACCTCCGACCTTAAACTCTCGCCCGATCGGCCCCGCCCTCTTCCCTCCAGCCCATTTGCATGCTAATTCCTTGTTGACTGAATACGCCCCGCTGCCTTTGGCAATGAACTCCGGTCCGGGGGCCTCATCCGTGGGCCCATTATCACCTGCCACCAGAACCGTGGATGTTTGGGGGGGTCGGAGTGGAGTTGCAGCAATCTCCAACTGCATGGAAATGGCTCTAAAACCATCAGCATTGAAGCTCTAATTACAGAGCGACACGATGGGAGCTGGAAGTTTGCAGGAGCTTCAGGATGGTGGAGTGCAGCCAGCAGGCCTCACTGACAGATCTCTGCACAATTATGGAGTTTAGTGCCTATTTGGAGTTCCTCCATTATTAATAAGCCCTAATTGGCTCAGTTGGACGCGGCAGCAAACCGAGGCCGAATGGAGAATTCCTTTTAACTTGATTGTAACGGAGAGAGGAATACAATTCAAATAATGGCTTTTTAATAGATCCCACTGACACTCTGAAGTGTGAAGGACTCCTTTTGCCCAAACCAAGTCCGGAAGGGAAGAGTGGGAGTTATCGGATGTCCGTTTTTTTCCCGCTCTACCTCCGCCTCGCTGCTTTTGGTCTCTTTCTGCTTTCATTTCCTCTTCCTGGACACCGCTTCTTCTTTTGTCCGACCCGTCCTGTCTTCCTCGCTCCATCTGAGGGCGCAGAGGTCACTCCGCACGGCGGCGGCGTTATCTAGCTCAGATAGGTCTGGCTGTCAGCTACGGTAACGACCAGAAAGACTTTCCTACATGTTCACACACCTATAGCCCAACTAATAGCACGGAGGGAAGGTGTGAAAGGAAGGGGAGGATGGGGTGTCGTGTGTGTGGGGGGGCAGAGCCGGGGGTAGGGGGGGGTCGGCCGGTGTTGTGTGACCATGCAGAAGCAGATAGAGAAGGGATAGGATAACACTCCCTAACCCCAAACACATTTACAGCTGACATCATGATTAATGAGTCTGGAGCTGTGCTGAAGGGCCTGTTCCTGCACCCATTAGCCCCCCCCCACCCACCCCCTAATGCCCAGCTACCTCTGACCCCCCCCACCTCCACATCCACAAAGCCCATCTGGACCAAACCAGACTCTGGATCTATGGATACTTTAGATACAGAACACATTATGTGTCTAACAAGTTTTCATTCCAGTTTTTTTTTTGTTCTCTTCGATTTTGATGATCCAATAAAATATTCCTCACTGGGATTTTATTGGCTGCAAACGTTTTGGGGGTTGGTCCCACCCGGTTCATCCATCCACAGGCTGATTCTGGGTGCAGAACTTTTTGCAAACATCAGTTTTTTATTCCAAAAACGTTTAAAAATAAAAACAATTCACTGGACTTTGTTTGCAAGTTTGAAGACGTAGAATTGCTTTTAGCTGATGAAGGTTCTCAGTCATCCAGGTCATAGTCATTCCGTAAAAATTCTAAAAATTTATCCACTGGACTTGGTTTTCAAGATTTGAAAAATCGTGAAAACCAAGTCCAGTGGATACATTTTTAGAATTTTTACAGAAAGAATTGCTTTTGTTTAGAAAACATGCATTTTGAACCAGATGCAGAAATTAGATGGATGGATTTCAAAAATAAAATCCTATTTATGACGTAGTAACAATTTTAAGACTTCTGAAAGACTGATTTAAGACATTTTAATACCAATTAAAGCCTTAGTGTCCCAAAAACAGGACAAAATTGTTACATTCACTTAATACTATATTTACTTACTATTCTTTAAACATATAAAGTGAATGTAATATACTTTTTAAAAATAAGTATTTCTTAGTGACATTTACACTGGAAAAAATAGAAATCTAGATAAGTAATTTTTTCTTCAAATAACTTCATTTTTTTTGGCTTGAGGAGGTAAAAGAGACATTTTGCCAATGGAACAAGACAACTTACGCTAAAAATAAGAAAACGCTATTGCATTGTCTTATTTCAATTGCATATTATCTAAATATCTTACTTTAAGAGTAAAAATACTCATTCCATTGGCAAACTATCTAATTAACCTGCTCAAATTAAGGGTAAATAGACTTAATTTAAGAAATTTTAACTTGTTTCTAGATCGTTTTTCCAGTGTAATTTTTAATTAATAATAATAAATTAAATGGTTGTTATTTATTTACAGTCGTAGGGAAGCGACTTTTCCAATCGTTGCATTTCCGAATTCTCCCGAGTGGTGCCCGACTTTACACACGTGAATAAAGTGAATGTGATTGGTCGATTATTAAGGGGGCGGGATTGTTGTAGCGAAAGGTTCGCAAGCAATTTTGGAAATTCCATTGGGACCAAGTAGCACTAAATTGGTGACTTAGAAACGACGCTGTCAAGGAACGCTATGGACAGCGGAAACATTATAAGACGCACTGGGCTATAAGTTCATATCTACTGAACTTTCTCCCACCAAACCTGTAGGGGGAGCTCTAAATATAGCCTCTGGAGGAGGGACCAAGAGGAATGCTAGCTCCGGTTAGCTTGTTAGCTCGCAGCATTAAGAGCTTCTACTGGAAGATGGGGCTTCATCAGATCTTTATTTCAGCTCTGCAGAAGTTGAGCTCAGTCTCTTCATTGATTTGCAGCTTTAAAGTCGTAGGGAAGCGGCTGTTCCAACCGTTGCATTTCCGAATTCTCCTGAGTGGATCCCGACTTTATACGAGTGAATAAAGTGAATGTGATTGGTCGATTATCAAGGGGGCGGGGTTGTTGTGGCGGAAGGTTTGCAAGCAAGTTTGGTTGTGGCCGGTTTGTGGGAAGCATCTTGCTAACCAGTTAGCATCTTAGTGCTAGCAGGTTCCCAATGGGAAATTCCATTGGGACCAAGTAGCACTAAATTAATGACTTAGAAACGACGCTGTCAAGGAACGCTATGGACAGCGGAAACATGCAAGAGGAGGAGAGTTTAGTGTCGGAGGTCGTGGATGAGTCTCCTCCGTCATCCATTTTTTATTTAGAGGAGGAAAGCGGGGACGAAGATGTTGTGGAAGAGGATGCCAGGGCGGCAGAAGCTTGGTTTGGTGTAGAAGGCTTCCAGCCGTACATGTTTGAGCCCTTGCCTCGCAACGCTGCCAGTTCTGTTAGCTCTACGCCTGCTGAAGACACAGACGTCCATCCCCGTGAACACTGGGACGCAACTCAATGGGAAAGGAAAGGATTCTGGTTTCAACCGTTGCGTATATTAGCTGCGACACATGAATCAAGATGCTATGACCGAAAAAAATTTTATCGGCTGAATTTAGGTGTTCAGGCTGACGTTTAACTAACTGGCCTAAAAACAAAAATAGAAATTTTCAAACTTTTGGGACAATCTGGTCTGATAAAGAGTACATTTATATCCATGTTTAAGCCAGAATGATTTGACATTTAGATATAAATTCTCTACGACTTTAACGGGACATTTAATCATTTAATGATGCATTTAAAAATGTAATGGCATATTTGTTATTTGGTTTTACATAAATAAATACATTGCATGTATTTATTGCTGACATGATTTATTTAGTGCCTCTGTATCACTAAGATTGTGGAAACAAATGTGCAACCTCAAACTTGGTGCCTCACAACCTCACAGGGGTGCCGACTCTCACTCTCAGAATCCCTAGGTAAAGGGAGGTAAAAAAAAATGTGGGAAAAAGAAGAATTTAAGGCGTATGAAGGGTTTCCACTGCCCAGTATATTTATAGTTATCATATATTTCCTTTCAGGTACAGGAAGCAGCAGAGAAACGTAAACCGCTGGGCTGGTTTGTCCCCATGTTCACCTTTTCTATGGAATTTATTATGATTTATTGCTGCAGAAACGAGCGAATGGTGCAGAGCGCGGGAGCGGGGGGGGGGGGAGGTTCATTAAAAGTAGGAAAACGGTCACATACTGAACGTACATTTGGTGACCACGCCCTCCAGGTGAATGATGTTGGGGTGGTCAAACTGGCCCATGATGCTGGCCTCAGACAGGAAGTCCCTCCTCTGCTTGTCCGTGTAGCCGGCCTTCAGCGTCTTTATGGCCACGCAGATTTCCCTCTTGCCGGGCATCTTCAGGCGGCCGCTGCAGACCTCGCCGAACTCTCCTGAGAACACATTAAAAACGGCGCCATCAGGGGCGGATTTAGCAGATTTAGGGCCCTAGGCAAAGACAGGTATTCTAGGTTGTGTCCCTCTCTTCTCGTCCCTTTTCTTCTTGTTTTCCTCTCTATGTTTTGTACTCAGCTGACTTTTCATGCTGTCTCTAAAGGAATGAAAGATTTTTTTTCCAAGCACTAAGCTCACTTAGCTGATTGCTCCTTCCTGTGTTTCCAAAAAGGCCAAAGTAAATAACCCAGTCCTTCTTTTCACTGTAGACAAGCCATGATCTGCTTCTCTGTTCTCCATTTTTCATTTGGATGAAATAATAGCTGCATGAATCATGACAGCAGACAAGATAGAGGAGAGCAGGAGGCGGGGTTACCAATCTACTCGCTCTGGGGAGCAGAGTTCGCTGCTTTTAGATGTTGTCTCCAAAGTCTCCAGTAGCAGAAAAAAGTCTCTAGATTTGGCGCTAGGAGCTTTTTAGAAATCAAAGTGCTAGAGGGGTCTGAAAAGTGGCTAAATATAGCGACTAAAGCGCTAAGTTGGCAACACTGCTCTTTGCATGGTTTGTTTCCAAATGGTTTGCTGCTGTCTGTTTGGACCTTTCTGAACATGTGCAGCAAATGGACTGATCCAATATGGCGGACACTGAAGGGGGGGGCTGAGACACACTGAATATTATCAGCGTTCTGATGGCATTTTAGCCATAATTAATGAGCAGAAATAAGGAATAGTTGTATTAACCATACATGTAGTAGTTTTATGGGGCCCCCAGGAACTTGGGGCCCTAGGAAACTGCCTAGAATTGCCTAATGGTAAATCCTGCACCATGATGCATGAGCGCTCTGATCTAGGGGCTGTAGATCTAATCAAAGGTTGTTTGTTTCTGTGTGTGTGCAGGTTTGAAGGGTTCCACTTTAATCATTGATCAGGGTCTTTTTAATCCCCCCCCCCCCCCCCCCTCTCCTTCTATTATCCGCTGGAGCAGAAAAAGAAGAGGAAATAGATATTGATTCTTTAGCTTTATTATTTTGTCATTGGATGACTTTTCTTCGGGTGCAGGAGCAGCACAGACAGCAGATTTAGCTTCTTTATGGTTCCTTTTTTCTCATCCTGGCTTTCTGAAAGTTTGGTTTTTACAGACAACTTTAAATAAAATAAAGCAAAACGCTTGTTTCCTCTTACCAATGCCGATAACTTTCTCGATCTTGATACAGGCAGCGTCTATCTCTTTGGCGAACTCGCGGACGGCTTGATTCGGGTCCTCGTAGGTAAACGGGTCGACGTAAATCCTGACTCCTGAGAACAGAAGCATGAAAAGAAAGGATGGATTCATTCCGTCAACTCAGCTCTCCTCCCTCCATCTGTTCTTTATTTCCATCATGCTGCGGGCTACACCGCCTTCCTCTGGACCCTCTCCTCCTCCTCCTCCTCCCCATACCTCGCTTCCCACTGCGACTCTATTGCTTTTCATGTCACTGTGACTCCGATGAAGATGGAGCTCATTAACTTGAAATTCTTCTGGCATGCAAATAACGACGTTGATGGCTTGATAATGAGGTGTTTGAAACATGTTAGCAAGCAAGTACATTAACTTCCAAATAGTTTATTTCTGTCCCCGTTTTATGGGACTGTGCGGTTTAGCGTGCGTGTACGTTAGCACACCTGGCGGCGCTAATGGTTTTCAATTAGAGAGCGTGTAGGTGGACTGTGAGCTATGAGTTACCTTGATGTAAGTGCTTCTCTTCATCAGAGTCCTGCTTAGCTTTGCTGTATTTACTCCTTCTGGGGAAAAAACAAAACAAAACAACAAAAAAACATTCTTAATGTGATTTCACCATTTATCACATCGTAATTCATAACAATACATTAAGTTAGATGAGAAATCAAAGCATCTCAATTATGATCAACTAGAAATCAGAATCATACATGAAAACCTTCAGCTGAGGGATTCCAGATTTTAAACTTTTTTCCTTCAAAAGCACACATTTAAGATTAACTCTGAACGTATCGCTGCCTCAATCTTTAGAAATATGCTGCTAGTTTCTAGTTAGCATAGCTTACACTAAACTATTAGCAATGCAGCGTAGCTAGCATCATGTTTGTACGACGGAGTATCAGGGACAGACTAGAGATTTTTTTTTATTTTTAAGAATAAAGTCATCATATATCAACCCGTTTCAGAAAGAAAGCTTGGAGCTCCGCCCAGCAGATGACGGCCGACCAGCTCCACCAATCCGCAACCAGAGTCCACTTTGACATCCTGCCCAGTTTGATGCTGCTGCTAAAAGATTTCCTGATTTGTCAAACCGATGCTAAAGTAGAACTTCCCATGATGCTCCACATTCCTCATTTTAGGGAAGAAAGGGATTCTGGGAAGAGTTGTTATGACTTTACTGTGACTGGTGAGTGGGATGGCCAGTGGGGTGGCCAGTGGGGTGGCCAGTGGGGTGGCCAGTGCATTGCGCCGTGTGGCTGTGGCCACCCTACTGGTGGCACCACTGGTATGAAATAAAAGCTAGTCTTTCAAAGTGATGTAGTGTCATTTTTTATCATATAAGTCAAGGGAAAAAAAAATTATCCGATTTGGTAGAAAATAATCTGAAATGGTTAAAAACATTCATTTATTCATCTGTTAAAGATGGGATTTTTAAATTACCAGTCAGTTACAGTAAAGACGTCCGAAACAACAGGTGAACCTGAACGTTTTTACAAGCTGATAATAATATTTATATCTAAACTGAGAGTTTTTAAATCAATCCAGAAGAAGAAGCTTTTCTTAAAGGCAGCCTGATTTGTTCATATTGATGCACAGGTCAGGGAAGGCAGAGATGAGTGTGCAACGGTTGATGGTAAACGGTAATTTCAGTCACTCTCTACAATCGCTTTCTGGCAGCAGCAGCAAAACAACAGCGGCCGTCACATGCATATAAAACAAGGCTGGGACAACCGCCTGCTGGGACGGAGAGAGAGGGAGTCACATGGAAAAGAGGAAAAACACACAACCAATGATTTAGTCTCCATAAGGTGCAGAAAACCATCAACTTCTCTTTTTTTTTTGTCTAAATAAACCAACAGAGAGAGAGGGAGCGTGGTTAACACCCTGAGGAGAGACGGCCCATCTGCATGTAATCCCATCTGCGTGACGGCGCTTTGTCCCTCTGCCTGGTTAGCGCCCTGAGATGAGGTCACTGCAGATCCACCTGATGCCTCTCCTCCATCTTGCTCTGGATTCTGGCTCCTTCTTTCCCCGCTCATCCCGCTGCCTCGCCTCACACTCCTCTTTTTTTCTTTTCTCACTTCCCTCTTTCTTTTAAACGGCGGCCGGAAAAGCAGCAGGAGAAAAAAAAATAACCGGCAGCCGTGATTACCACAGCTAGGAGGGGGGGGAGGTGGAGGAGACAGGGAGCAAGGGGGTCGCTGATTGCATCTCTTCAGCTGTCGGAGCTGTCAATCACACCTCCGGTGCGGCGAGTCATCCCTCATCCGACGTGAGCTGGTTGAACAAGCTGCCCGGGGGGGTGGGGGGGTCCTGACAGCTGCTTTTCCGACCCCGGAGGAAGACGTCCCTCAGCTGGACGTAAAAAGAGACAGGAAGCGGAAGGGACTCACCTGCGGCTGATGACGAAAGCACTGATGAGGATGATGAGGAGGACCACGCTGCCCACCACCGACACCAGCAGCACGGTGGAGTTGGCCCCGTCGCCTATGATGGGGGCCGGCACTGTGGGAAAAAAAAAAAAAAAGAAGTAGAAAGTGAGAAAAGTCAACGTAGTTACGACCGGATCAAAGAGCCGCGGTGCTTTGTGCGTATTTGTCGAAGTAACTGATCTCCCTCCTACTTCCTCCCCATATGCCACCCCACCCCCCGCCTCCATTTTACAGTCCTGCCCCATAAAACCTGCAGGCTGCACGCTTGGCTGGGGGACAATGATGATCCATTAAGGTGTGCGCTTGACCGTGTCATCATCACACACCGCTGTGACTCCGCGTTACAAAGAGGACACCTGGCTCCGCAGCCGACCTCCGTCCCTTTAATTTAATCTACAGCCTGTGAATCCCACAGCATGGATGTCAGAACACGATGGTTTAGCTCTGCGGACCGCAAACATCACAGCCACAGAAACAAAAGGCTCCCTTTGGTTTGAGAGCAGTTATACGGCACTAACCAGCGTTTTAAATCAGAAGCTTTTAACGGAAATCACCTATAAACCTGAATAAAAAACAGGATAGATGCTGTTTAACGGCTTCTTTAATCAGAGATGGCAAAAGTACTCACTTTCCGTACTTGAGTAAAAGTACAGATAGTTGTGTTAAAAAATACTCTGGTAAAAGTGGAAGTACTGATTAAACTTCTTTACTCAAGTAAAAGTAACAAAGTACAGGCTTGTAAATTTCCTTAAAGTATAAAAGTAAAAGTAGAAACCACTTTTTTCATGCCGTTGCCTACATTTTAAATGGATGTCTGCCAATAGGACTAGATCTCCGTTGTGTTCATTTTCAATCATCTCGTCGTCCATGCTACTATGCTAACGCCACCGCCACCAAGCTGCAATGATTTGCCGCCAATGAATCCCGCCGAATCTGTCGATTCATCTTGTAGCGGTGCGTCAAATGCAACGTAGATTCCCATCCAATTAGATTGAATTTGGTATTGATGACATGAAAAATAATAACGGTAACTCCATTGAAATGATTCAAAACTAAAGTAACGAGACAATTTTTTAAAATGTAAGGAGTAGAAAGTACAGATATTTGTGTAAAAATGTAAGGAGTAGAAGTAAAAAGTCGCCATAAAAATAAGTAGTAAAGTAAAGTAAAAATATCAGAAAAAACTACTTGAGTACAGAAACGAAGTATTTGTACTTCGTTACTTCCCATCTGTGAAATTAATAAATGTCAGCAAAAATGTAGAAGTAACAACCAGGTTATCAAACTCCTGACAGGTTAGCGGGAAACTTCCTGTTTCCTTTTATAGGAGCAACGACCAACTGGAGGTTGGGCTCTTTTCTCACATCCAGTGTTTGACGTTTCCTCCATATTGGATTCTCCATTCCTTCCATGTGTTTGTAAAAACTATGAAACCAGATGCGGAATTAGGAAATTTGGGGCCCTAGGCAAAGACAGGCAGGGGGCCTCTTCCCATTGCTTGTTTTCAAATGGTTTGCTGCTGTCTGTTTGGACCTTTCTGAACATGTGTATGGCGTTACATTTATGTCATAACCAACGCGAGCAAAATAAATATACTCGCATGTGTGTTAAACTACTTCTGCGCATGGTTTATCTACCGCTGCGCGGGAAACTGCTGCTTCAAGAGGAGAAAATCTCTCTCCGCGTGCGCCAGCTCCTCTACGTGCGCTCAGAAACTCTCCGCGAAGACGGCCGCCCTCTTGAAAGCGTCTCTGCGCTCGGACCGATTTTCTCCTCGCGCGGAGGTAAAGTGGTTTTGACAGGTTGGGCGGAGACAACTGTAAGCCTCCTCCTGATTGGGCCTTGCAGACACGATCTCACAGGAAGTAGTGTCAGGAAGCATTTGACTGACAGCTCGTCAGTTAAGACGACGGCTCGAGGCGGGACAGTGACGCAGCGCCTTCTACCGCGGCGGTAGATAAACCATGCGCAGAAGCAGTTTAACTAACATGCCAGTATGTTTATTTTGCTCGCGTTGGTTATGACATAAATGTAACGCCATACATGTGCAGCAAGTGGACTGATCTAATATGGTGGACACTAATTAATGTGCACAAATAAGGAATAGTTGTATTAACCATACATGGAAACAGAGTTCTATGGGGCCCTAGGCAACAGCCTAGCATTGCCTGATGTTTGAATGATTTCAGTGCTACCATTTAAAAACACTTTAGTAGAAGTTAGAGGACCAACTTCCTGAGGAGAGACTCACCGGAGTTCGTCATGAACTCAAAGGGCCCGCTGAATTCGCCGTAGCCGGCGGCGGTGCGAGCACGCACGTGGAACACGTAGGAGGTGAGAGGGGTCAGGCTCTTGATGTCCGTGCTTCTGGACGACGTCTTTATGATGCGATAGCTCCTCTCGTTCTGGTCCTGAGGAAGACGAAGAGTCGATAACGGTCGGTTTTATTGAAGTTTGATCTGTGGGAACCAAAGGGGGCCTTGATTAAAAAAAAAAAACTCACCTTCTCGTAATACTTGACCTCATACTCCAGGATGACGCCGTTGGAGCGCTCTGGTGGCTGCCAGGCCAGCGAGATGGTGTGTCTGGTGATGTCCTTTGCCTGGATGGAGGTCACTGGAGAAGGAGCTGATTAAAGACAGAGAAGAAGTCAACCTCACTAACTGTAGAAAATAGGAATCACTTTGGGTTAGTTTGTATAAAATAGCAGAAATCCTCACAATGGTGAAATATTAGGAGCCTTTCTAGTTATCCACATGCTAACATTCTCCCGCCTTGCTATCATGTCTGCCTCTATTCCACCAATCAGAGACTCACCAGCAGGAAGTTCGTTTTTCTGCTTATTTTTACTTTTTATCTGTTGTTTCAGAGACAGAAATCAGTGATAAACGAACCACGGCTAACTGCTAATGCTTCCGAGAAAGGTGGCTATAGGGGTTTTCCAAAAAAGTAAAAAACAAAAACAATCCTCTGGACTTTCTTTCCAAGTTTGAAGACGTTTCTCTTCAAAATGTCAGAAATAGGGTTGAGTTCCAGGTTTTATAGAGTGGAACAAAAACAAAGGCTTGTTTTTGTTTAGAAAACATTGAAATAGAAACGGACGAACGGGTTCATCCCTTTGGAATGGGGATTGTTTGGCTTCTTTGTTAGCCTGCAATGCCCCATACCTGTCTATGTCTCTGAAAGGGGGGTCGTTAGAGGGAATAGTTGGCCTGGTTGAATATTTGAGGTCTTCTATTTCCCTGTAAAGGTGTTTCGGGTTGAAGCCAAAGAAGACGGTTTGTGACGTCACGGTGCGGTATCGGCTGTTGATCAAGTCCCAGTGCTGTATCTGGTGTTTGTCACAACGCGCTATTATCCAAGTCATCTTGAAAACATTCTTCTTCCAAATGTTGGCTACATATTACGGGTTTTTTCTCTGGCCAGAAGTTCGATGGCAAATCCTCCCTCTTCAAGTTGGCGATCCAACGACCAACCCGTCCGTGGAGGATCAGGAATCAGAAAGGTGGAATAACTCTTTTTTTCACTTTTACCCGATGTATTCCAGCATCCAGCTGCCATGCACGTGGGCATTGTCAGTTTCACTATAGCTCTGGTGAATTTCAATGGTGAAGTCCTCTGGAAATCTTCAATAATTGTTGTTGATTGCAGATGTGTCTAGTAGTTCCCATTGATTTAGCTTGGAAAGCGGGGAGAATGGCGCTAGGCTTACCGCACCGTGACGTCACTGCTGGAAGATGGCAAAAATGGCCGCTCCCAGACTCGGTGATTGCAATGAAAATTATTTTATTTTTCTACTCATTAATGCTAAATTAATTAAATCACTACGAGCGTATTAGTTATTTGTAGCTGAGCGGACTTTTCCTTTAAGCTGCTGAGGAAAGTAAGTGAGTGAAATGTTTTCCTCCCCAAAAGTGCTGGAGATGTTTTTCCCTCCACGGCTCCATCTGTCATTCCCTCTTGTCTGATTACATTTCATCCCTTTCTGAAGCGTTCCTCCTGCTTCCATCTCTGGCGAGGCCATAAATTCCTCTCCGTAACAATGAGTGTGCTTAACCCAATCCTGGCCTCTTCTCACGGCCGGGAGATAAAAAGTTTGATTTGTGCGGCGGTGATACGCCGAGGGGAGGGAACAAGTGTAGGCCGTAATCGGTGCTTTAACCTTCACGTGTTCACAGCGTCGGGACGCAGACAGCGCCGCCGTTTGAAATATGGCCTCATTATCAGCTGCAGCAGAAACGGCTCCAGATAAGATCCCACACCGCAGCTTTAATGAAAACCAATTGATTTTCTGTGTTTAAAGCAAAGGATAAAAAAACACAAAGGTGTGGAGCTGATTTGAGTTTGTTCAATCTCTTCGTTTCTACGTAGGTTTTCTCAGGGTGACCTGAAGAGCGGCGACAAATGGAGTCAGAGAAAGCGAGCCAAATATGGAGCCTCTGTTTTATTAAATCGTAATATTAGATCAGATTTACTTCTGGCAAGTTCAAAGAGGAATGGAGGAGATGGCATCAATGTCCAGACTGAACTTTGACCCTTTTAGCAGGAGAAGTGAGATGAAGTGATGAACAGGGTAAAAGGAAACGCTGTTTTTAAGCGACTTTGGGGGAATTTATCATCTTTAAGCATCTTTAAGGAGTCCTAACCTGGTATTTTATTTACATAATCCTTTAAAGGCACACTATGCAACATTTTTCAGTTAATTAATGTGTTCCATAACGTTTTGGATGATTAAATGAGTCCTTTCAGGTCGAACAAAGGTTTTCTCGGCCGCCCTGGTGGTCTGTAGGGGAAATACCGTACTTGCAATTGCAGGAGCCCTCGGCCCGCACCCACAGGCTCAGAAGTCTCGTGCGTCGCGAGAGTCGGTCTTGCTTTACGGCGAGAACTGCTACACGCCCCCAGTGAAAGGCATGCTCGTTGCTAGCGCAGTGGCGATATTTGTGCAGTTATCATGGCGGAACCAGCGAGAAAACAGTGAAAGCCCATGTCGGAGCAGGCAAGAAAGAGGAAAAGGGCTCTCTACCGCAGTAGACATGGTGATTCGTTGCGTTCGCCTGTCTGCTAAGCTCAAAATAACAGTGCCTGGCTTGACGGAGAAACCAGGAGAACAGCTGAGCGTATTTACGACAGTGCACTTTTACTTTCGCCCTCTGGGGGGAGCCTCGCTGGAAAATCAACACCGCTTGCATAGTATACCTTTAAAGGAAAAGTCCGGTCAGCGAGGAATAATCAATGGATCACTATTTATACCTAAAACTAATACGTTTGCGGTGATTTAATGAATTTAGCCAAAAAATAAAAGCAAACATTTTCATTGCGATCACTGAGTCTGGAAGCGGCCATCTTTGACCAAATATAGTAGCCCCTCCCTCCTGCCATCTTCCAGCAGTGATGTCACGGTGCGGTAAGCCTAGCGCCATTCTCCCCGCTTTCCAAGCTAAATCAATGGGAACTACTAGACACATCTGCAATCAACAACAATTATTGAAGATTTCCAGAGGACTTCACCATTGAAATTCACCAGAGCTGATATTTCTCTCCAGGATGGAGTCACAGCCAAACAGGAACAGACCAGATGAAGCTACTCTGAGAAAAAGCAGAGCAGGGCTCCATGTTAACCATCGCCCGATCGCCCGGGGTGAGTAGTTTTTATTGTCGGGAGAGAACAAATTTCATTGCATTTGTAAAATGATCGCAAAAAAAAAATATTTATCACTCAAAATTACTTTAAAATCACCGACATTCGATGAAAACGACCCACAAGCGTTGCCGGCGCCATCTTTGTTGTTTTGTACACATTCTAGTGTGATTTTCTGCTAGATGGCGTGATTCAGCTCTTGGGGAGAGAATTCTGCAGAGCAGCAGCTGGATGATGAATTAATCTATACTATAATACACACTAGATTAAAAATGATCAGTCAGGGATGAGGAAAATAATAATAATAATTGTATGCGCACAGTGTAAATATTTCTATCATATGGCAGCCTTCTGTGCAGTGATGCAGGTCATACATTAAAAAATGTTTTTCTCTTAGACATTGAAGTGGTGCATTTAAATGTTATAGAGCTAAACATGTTAGATTGGTGAGTAGTAGTAGTGGAAGTTTTTAACCTGTCAAGTTTTTACATTTTTAACATTATAATTTATATTTTTCCAAGCACACAACAGTTTAAAGCAAAGTTTAGTTTGAAAAGAATGAGCAGGAAGGATTGAAAAGCATGTTAACACGGTAATGTAGGCTTGAGTTCATTATCTGACGCATGCAGATACACACCAGGAACCTGGAAACTTAAAAAATACTGAATTACAAAAAACATTTAAAAAACAAACATGTTTCATTGATATATATATGCAAAAATGAATATTAGGAACTATATTTATCAAACATTATACTGGGCAAGTAAAAATTGTTTTTGGGCAAATGAAATGTGAAAGTCACTTGCCCAAAAATCCATAACGTCAACCCCTGCAGAGAGAGCAGAACGTTAGAGATTGAACTAACAGATTCTGCAGAGTGGGAGAATAGAGATAGAATGAAGCAGAATGATGAAAAAGGGGTCCCTATGTCCTCCAGCAGTCTAAGCCTATAGCAGCAGAACTATAGAGATAGATCAGGATAACCTGAGCCACTCTAACTAGAAGCTTTATCAAAAAGGAAAGTTTTAAGCCGTGGGTCAGCACTGGGACTTGATCAACAGCCGATACCGCACTGTGATGTCACAGACCAGTAGGTGGCAGTAGTGTTCTTTGACAAACATGGATGCCTCCAGTAAAGCACATTCACATGAAAATAAAAACTGATCATTTATTGAACAGGATGGAATCATTTCATATTTAAAGAACTTTCAGAAGTTTGAATTCTGAAATAAACTCGCAGGTAAGCTCGTCTCTTGCATCTGCTCCTCTGGGTCCGAACGGAGCAGATCTTTGACCTCTGCCATCACCGTGACGTTACTCGCTCCACGCCATCTGCCTTTTTAAAAAATTACAGTGCAATGATTAATGAGGGGAGCCCCGATGCACAGATTATGATTGGATTATCTATGACACCATATACATTCTCATCACCCGGGCCGGGGACTCCAGGGAGGATAACCCTCCAGCTAAGCCTGACAAACCCCCTGCTTTTAGTCAGGGATTGAGTTCAAACAGGCCTGGAACTCAAGCACCGCTCATGGATTGGGTTTCATTGAGCTGAAGAAGCAGCAGGAGGAGGGTGGGGGCGGGGGGGTACGGTTCAGGAGTGGCGGGGGTCATGATGGAGATGGAGAGGGATGGAATTGCAGACATCACTTGGTAAAAGGATTAACCCGAGGTTGTGTCATCCTGTTGGCCTAATGTGTTGCGTCTCCGTTAAACATTTAGATGGCGGCCATTTGTATCCCTCCCGATCAATCTTACGCGGCAGCGGGAGGCAATTTAAGGGCCCCCATGGGGGCCGACCGAGGATGCACTGAATCAGAAAGGAAACACCTGAGAGGTCAGGCGGGCTTAAATCCCCCAGGCCCGTCCAGCCATCCATCTTTCCTCCAAAGATGACAGATATGGCCGCGTAATCACGTTTTATTTTCCCCCTGACTAATGTCCAGATAAAGATGAGGGATTTTCTCCTCATCTGACTGCA